CAAGGAAAAAAACCCAAGAAAAAAAAGGAAAACTATTTTATTTAAAACAAAGCCGGTCACTCAATTTTGTATATATAACCCTCTATGAGTTTAATTGTAACCTATACTCAGCAAAGTTAAAAATAGTCATAACTCAAAAACTAACGCATGCATACAGTTGCAATTTGGAATTTTGTTAAAGTTTGGGGGTTTTTGTTTTTAGGCTCATTTGTTTACTTACATTTATCTTTAAACCCACCCATTATTACTTGTATCTTTAAGCCCAATTCACTTTTTGTATTTGTCTTTAAACCCAATCTCCAAATTACTATAATTTCACCACTTGTATTTATACACAATTAAGGTAAAAACCCCAAAATACCCTTTCATTGCCAAATATAAACCAGTTTCTCCCTCATCATTTTCCCCTTTCTCTCTTAGCCCTAAATTCCAAAAACGAGCCCTAAGAGCATCTCCAACCACAAAACCCAAAATGGTGTAGTTTTCACATCAAGTTGGTGTAGTTTTTACACCAAATTACTATTCCATCTCCAACCCATTACACCAAATTTTACACCAAAAAGAATATTCCTTTTATTATTCTTATCTTTTAACATTTTATCTATTTAAAATATTTAACAAATTATGTAATTATATAATACATTACATATAATTAATTATAGTAATATATTTTATGAATAAAATAAAAATATAAAAATTAAATGTTAAATCAAATTAAAATATTACTTTCATAAATTCAACTAAAGATTACATTTAACATCACAAAAAAAACATCACACTTGCAAGCAAAAAATAAAAATAAAAGGCATTACATTTTTATGTCCTAATTTTTATCTAAATGGTGTAGTTTTTCTTATTTCTTTTTAAATTTTATTTTAATAATTATTTTATACTCTAATTTTATTATAATAATTAATATAAGATAATATATATTATTAATACAAATATAAAAAACAAAAGCAAAAAGAATAAAGTTTAGAAAAAAAAGCAAAAAGAAAAGAAAATATGAAACTGCCGTCGCCCGTCCCCGTCATCGTTGTCGTCGACCTCGCAATGCCATCGATCTCGCCATTGCTCCGGCGCCTGTCATAGTCACCAGCCTTGATTTCCAAGTTGACAGAGGATAAAACTTCTGCTCTTCAGCAAAATCAGAGACTTAACCAAGAACTGGTATGTTTTTTTAAGTTGACAGAGGATAAAACCATTTTATCTAGTCTTATTTAAGAATCTGATTCTTGTTTTGCTTTGTCATTTATGTGCTCAGGGTTATTTTATGAGCTACAATTTCTGTTACTTTCCAGTATGCTACAGACACATCTAATTGTGAACTCCAATCATTTCAGGATCATAGTGATGAATGATCATTTTCCAAATCTTTATTTCTGTAATAGAGTCATCTAGTTGTTAGTCTAAGTGTGTAGACCCAAAGCTGCAATCGAAAAGACGAAGAAAACAGTCAGAAGACTGTGCGGTCTACCGCAGTGGCAGAGCCGGTCGACCGCGTGCACTGCAGGAGACTGAGAAGAAGTTTTCGCTCTGACCGGTCGACCGGCGTGGTCACTGCGGTCGACCGATATCGTGCACAAGACCCTGTAGGATTTCGTCGTTCTGACCGGTCGACCGACCTTGGCAAAGCGGTCGACCGCGACGCAGATTCGATGTTTCCTATTTTATCTAGGAATCCT